GCCCGCCCCCCCCCCCCCCCCCCTCTTTTGAGAATAAAATAATAAAGTTAAATGAACACCTTTCTTGTTTAGAAGGGAATTAAAGGATTACATCCCTATTCCACAAGAGTTATGCTATAGGTATAAAATTGGTTGATAATGTAATATTTACACCAATCATTTGAAAAATAGATTTTTAAATCATTGAAAATTAATGGTCTGAATTTTGTTAATACTTATTGTCAATCAAATTTGTAAACACGTTTTGTACAAATAGCATAATACATTCCAAAAAGAGGCTCATAGATCATTATCCCTCGAGTTAGGCCGTAACCTTGATTCACATTGCCAGGTAAAGATAAACTATAATATAAAATAAAAGTGTTTTTTTATACAAAGGAAAATTTTGACGGAAGAATATTGACTATACAAAGAGAGTAGTCACATTTCGTAATGTCAATCTAATAGCCGAATTTTTGAGCATGGATAAAATTTCGATAACTCTCTATTGACCATACAAAGAAAGTGCATAAATTATTGACTTTCCTACGATTTAATATTGCGAACTTGATGTAAATGTCAAATACTTCCTTTCAAGATTGCGCGTTTCTTTTGTGTTTATGCTTTTGTGCCTTCTGGGTTGATCTCTCACATCTAGAAGTTGACTTACTTATAAGTGATTTTTAGCTTCTGATAATAAAACGGAACCTTTGCTCAAGTAGTCAAGTTTGAATTTAAACTTTATTTGTCACATTAATCTTTTTAAGATTCTTTTGTATGTAGACGGGTACTTTAATTTTTGAGCAAATCATCCAAAATAAGAATATATTAGTAATAAGAATTCACGATTTAATTTACCAAACCAACCTTGTTTAATACGTAATCCAATGGGGGCTTATGCTACCGGTTTCAAGATTAATATATAATTTATTTTTTTAAATTTTGACTAATCATAGTTGAGAATTAGTGATTGGTTAAAACGTGACAAGATTAAGAGGGTGGAATTAATTAATTATTAATTTATTACATTGTTGTCAATTTTATTGACCAAACGAAAAGTCCTAGGTTGCCTCTTCACATTATGTGCTTCATTTAATATTATTTATTAGTTAATTAGCTTGCTTATAGCAGCCTTTGATAATATGCCTGGATGCATGTTGGACCAACGAATAACAACATAATATTATTCTAAGAAAGTTGGTTATAATTAATTAATTTATATATAATCCTTTTCTTGCAAAATTCATTAATCGAGGTAGAAATTTTTATTCAACGAACTTCAACAATTGTGCAAATTATAAATTTTTTGTATACTGAATTCGGGACATCGATGAGTGAAGTCATAAAATTACTACAACCATTTTCGAGCACCTAATAATATATACAGGACGTCACAAAATTCGATCATTTTTCTATGATTTCTTTTGCACTATCCCTTCCAATGAAATTCGAAGATACAAATTCTTCATTGGTCCATAAACTGACCTAGGGAAATCCAAGAACTCAATATGATTATTCTTTTTAATTCCCTGTTCGTAGGCAAAATCGAATTCGGAATTATCTTCCATTCGATAGTGCGTGGAAGATTATATTGTTAGGATAGCAGGGTACTACTATTAGCAGCATAAACACACTCCTATGAATGTGAAAAATACACAGTAAAATTTGAATATTAATTTATCTATTAAATATAAATCGAGCCATCTCATTGAAAAGTTTTAATATGCTAATAAGCCCACGTTTGAGCTTTGTTATTTTTCATTATATTAAATTAAATTTTTCTCTCTCTTATTTTTAATCACACAATCTTCAATAAAATAATATTACACGTAAATTAAAAAATTTTCAACCATTCATTTTTTAAATAAAACACTATTCAAAATATTATAATGAGAAATAATGAAGCTCAAACGGGTGTAAATTTATAATTTTTTTATACCAACCAAAAGTCAGAAAGCATAAAAAGAGAAAGGAAGAATAGTTTTGCAGTGGAAATATGTAACTTCCGTCGCTAAAAAAAAAGGCATAATGGACTAAATCTTAATTCAAAAAAAGACAGCAGAATTAGTCATGTTCATGCAGCGCAATTGCTCTATAAATTCTGGATTTTGCTACAACACTTCCACAAACATCTTAGGAAAACATCTAATATTCTTATATTTCTTCATTTATAATAATCTTGTATACATTTTCGAAAGAATATAATGAATTCTGGCAATATTTATGCAGCTGTTGCTGCTATAATTTTTCTCCTAATGATCTCTTGCCATGCGCAATTGTCTTCTACATTTTACGATACTACATGTCCAAATGCGCTCAGTACGATACGAACTTCCATTAGACGAGCCGTGTCGAGCGAACGTAGGATGGCTGCATCCCTCATTCGTCTCCATTTTCACGATTGCTTTGTTCAGGTTAACTATAATTTTCCATGTTGAAAATTGCAAACATAACTCTTAACTTTACATGAGGAAGTGTGTTGAAGATTATATATTTAACAGATTTTTTCTCATGTTTTTAGGGATGTGATGCATCGATACTACTGGATGACGCCACAGGCATTACAAGTGAGAAAACTGCAGGGCCTAATAATGGTTCGGCAAGAGGTTACGAAGTCATAGATGCCGCGAAAAGCGCGGTGGAGAACATATGCCCCGGCGTTGTTTCTTGTGCCGATATCCTTGCGGTGGCAGCTAGGGATGCATCGGCTGCGGTGGGTGGTCCTTCATGGACAGTGAAGCTTGGGAGAAGAGATTCGACGACAGCAACCCGATCCCTGGCAGAAAGTAATCTTCCTAGCTTTAGGGACAGCCTCGACATACTTATATCCACCTTTAGTGGCAAAGGACTTAATGAAAGAGACATGGTGGCTTTATCAGGTAAATTAATGTGTGTACTCATTGTCGAGTCTAATCATATTTTACCTATTAAAGATTCAGATTGACCTAAATATGAAATTCGACCGGCACATAACCTAAATATTTGTCACCCTCGATGTTATGCAGGTGCGCACACAATCGGGCAGGCACAATGTCGTCTATTCCGTGATAGAATATACAGCAATGGGACCGATATTGATGCTCGTTTCGCTAGCACTCGTCAACGCCAATGCCCTAGAAGCGGTAATGACGGAAATTTATCACCACTCGATTTGGTGACACCCAATTCATTCGACAACAATTACTACAGGAATTTAATCCAAAGGAGGGGTTTGTTAGAATCAGATCAAGTTCTTTTCAGCGGAGGATCAACGGATAGTATTGTGACTGAATATAGTAACAATCCTCGTACTTTCTCTTCAGACTTTGGGGCAGCCATGATCAAAATGGGAGACATTGAACCCCTTACCGGTCAAAATGGGATTATAAGAAGGATTTGTAGTGTCGTGAACTAATTTTGCATCGTTGTCGTATTTTTTAGTATATAGTTTTAATATTTTCTATTGTTTGGATGATTGGTTTGTCTAGAGTGATTTAATTTTCACTCAATGTTCCTTTTTTATTTTATTTTATTTTTATTCGAAGTTGTCCTTTGTTGAAAGGTTGAAATGTACATCATGTTCTTGTTATTTATTGTTTTTTTGTTGTAATATTTCCTATTTTAACTTCCTTCTCATTAAATTTGATCTGTAGTGCTTATACTCCTTTAGAGATAGCAACGAGCCAAATAAAAATTGTAGCAATGGGATTTGTAGACATTGACACAATTGCAGTCTAATTTACACATTTTGAATTATCCAACTTAAATAAAATCTCAAAAAATAATGTCTAAAATCTAACAAGGCGAGTATATCTTTTGACTCGTCAAATAAATCCGCTTCAACTCGTTCCCCACTCCGATAGCGGCTTCATCGGCGGAGGAAGCTTGACCATCGATCACTTTTAACCGAGGGCGCAGATCTCGCTTCTCCGCGGTAGATGGTTGCGCTGCTGCCATGATGTAGGCCCCTTCAAATGAAAAGACACTGCCACGTATAATATATAACCCCGTTTAGTACTCATTTTTTTCAAAATGCATTTTTCTCTCTTTTCTTTTCAACCACACATTCTTCATTAAAATAATATTATACGCAAATAAAAAATTTTTTTTTATTTTTCAACCACATATTTCCTATCAATTTACTATTTCAAAATGTATTTTTACATAAAAATGGCTCTCAAATACACTCATGATATTTATCTAGAAAAGTGTGACCCGCACTTGGCAGATATTTATTTTCCTAATTAATCAGTTTCTTCTTACAATGAGATTCTCCCTTTTCATGCACCGTGCGCATGAATAGCATTATTCTAAATATTAGTTTTTTTCATAATTGTTAAAGGAAAAGATAATTAATTATCCACGTGGCAAATGATGTTCTTGGAGATGAGAAAGTGACGGTTCTGTCATGTAGGCACGGATGTTTACAGCCGTTGGATTGATGGTTAGATTCGACAGTGATGATTGAGTTTCTAAGTGATAGAGAAATCGTTGTCATCCAGTCTCGACCCCGTTCTGGAGTGGGCTTCACGTGAGTTGAAAAGCAACAAAAAAAAGTGTAGAGCAGAAACGAAGTGCAAAGAAAAACTGACAAATTTTTTCATTTCTAAATTCAGACCACTAGATCCTTTATGCCGGTTAAAATCGTGTTAGTCCGGCTGTGATTTTTTGAATTCTCGCCGAATAGAGAAGAAATCTTATAAAGTTATTATGGAAAGAAACAGAGATTTGAGGAGAGTGAGCATGGCTGTTATCAACGGGGTACCGAAAAGACAACACAAAACTACCAGCATCCGTGATTCATATGGTTAGAAAAATCAATGGAATAAATTATTTATTGATATGTTCCTTCAATTTTAGAATTTTTTGATGATTTTTTTTATTTGTTTGGTGTTTGCAGAAGAAGATGCAGAAATGGAATTACAGGAAAGAGAGCGAGGGCAGAAGAATAGGAGTCGAGAGGTTTCTATTACGGTTGGAACTCGGTTTTGGCCCCCACCATAACTACAACTTAGAAAATGATGATTTCCCACTGAATTAGTAACTGATGCTACCAAAAATCGTACCTGCTGATTTTCCGAGCTTGATGACTGGTGAGGAGCACGAACGTGATCTTCCGATACCTGAAACAAAGGCAACGAGGTGTGTTCTCGTCGCCCCTCCGATGCTTAAGTCAGAAAGGGAAATATATGCGTGAGGCTATGTGCTGAAGAACAATGTAAAACGTACCTGAATAATGGCCCAAGGTTCTGTATTTATAGAGGTAGGTGGTGTGTTCATATTAGGATTCCGTGTTGCACCTGTAGTAGGATAGCTTGATTTTGCAATCTTACACCAATGAGTCTTACGCGAGATAGGAGTTTGAATTGAGGTATAACTGTGATACCAATAGAGTTCTTCAGGGCATGGGAGACATGAATTGAGGATTTTTAGTCAGAATAAATCTCTCGTTGGATGAGGCGCTGTCGTAGGTCATAATCCCGAGGACAAAACCCCGAGGATATGTCGAATGATTGATGAATGACTCTTCGGGGTAATAGCCCGGGCATTTAGGGGGATACCCCGAGCACATATGTCCCGAGCATTTTGATACACATACCGACGAAATTGAGTCATCGGGTATGTGTATACGTCGGGAACAAACTTGGTTATATCATTGGCCCCCGTGCACCTGTGCTCGATAATATGCA